TATATATATATATATAAGTTTTTCTTCATTACCCATTCAAGCCGTCTCCAACCATTGTAAGTAGATTATGATTTTCAGTTCTGTTTCTTGCTACAACTTTCATAGTATTAATGTGAATGGAGCTGGAAGCCGTAAAGTAAGCTATCCTCTGGATTGCTGTAGGCAGTGAGCTGCAAGTATACAGTGTCATTAACATAATATTTGCAATTGACTCACAGAGAGTACTGACAAAATTCATAGTGACTGGGTGGAAGAAAGTAAGATCATAAGATCATCACTAGGATATACATGCCAGCTAAACCAAGAAGCTGACATGTTCACAAGAAAAGCACCTTTATCAAATACAGGATAGTTTAACTGGTGGAATATCGACCTCCTTTGCACTGGTAAGGTGAAAATGGCAACCATTAAAGGTTTTCATCGACATTCAGAGGCAACAAGACTGCAAAAAATAAACGTACCATGTGGTATAACTAAGAAAGTCAAAAATATAATATTACCCACCAATTAAACTTTTTTTTTCAGCTAAAACAAGGATTTTCATTTCAAACGAGTGTATATAAACATTTCATACTTGTTTCATTTTATTTATTTCTCAAAGTTTCTAGTAATAAGTTTCTTAATGAAAACATCTCTTACTAATTATTAACTTTTAATTTCATTCAAACTTATCTGATTATAATTTTGTTGTTGCTGAATAGATTTAAGACTATTAGGAAACTTTTTCTCGGTATTCTTAAAAGGTATTACATTTTTACAGCTGATGACAGCTAGAGAGGCGACCAATGACCCAATCTCTGAAAGAAATGCTTCATATGCCTCTTCAAAAGATATTTGGAAATTCATCAATGAACTTGGTATTAGCAAGGTAGCTGTGACTTCAGTGTCATCTTTTGTATAAAGATTGTAACTATCAATCTTATTAAATGTTTTTACCCTTCTTACAAATTTGAAATATGTTTATGCAGCACTGTTTGGCACCACATTGCTAGAAAGCCTAAACACCAGATTCTTGAACGTATTTTGATTTCCCTCGGTGGACACAGCAGATAGCCTGATCTGACTTGCTATAAAACACACGCACGTTTTAAATTTATTCAAAACTTAAATTTTGGGGTTACATTTTTTACAGTTTTATCATGTAAAATAAGTGAGACACTAGATCCACTGTCTGTGACAGGTACATAAGTAGTGTAAGGTTTTATGTATTACATACCAGTGAGTAAGGACTTTAAACAATAAATGCTTTTATCTTAACCAGATGTGCACAAGATTGATCCATTGGACTGACACCATACCAGAAAAGATAAATTGACTATAATTTCAAATTTACTAGTTGTATCTACGGGAAATTTGACAGGCTTTTAGTAAGATCTACAAGTTTGTTGTACACAAAAAATCGGATCTATTACAAAAAGTATTTTTACTCAAGATATGTCTGAATTGATTATGTCAATCTGACAATTTAGAGTTCAAGGTGATGTTCGTGTGAAAAATATATATACTTTTGTCCAATGTAAAGTTTGCATAATTTGTAGAACCTTTGAAATACATATCTACAGTTTTTTCAGTATTCTTGTATATTGTATCTGCTGTTTACTCTTCTCTATCATGAACTGTTACTAAATCAGTAATGTAGAGTAAAATGAATAGTTGGTAACTCTGATATCAAATATATAACACCAAGTTGAATGGCATTCTGTAAAAAGGTCATGGTATGCAGGTTTTGACCCCACCTGTGTACATGGGGTTAATAAAGAGTGCTCATTATTTGACATTGTTTTGAGGAACTAGTTTTACGGTAAAATTTTCAATATGGCTTCAATATACGTATTTCTGTGTTTAAAATCTTAAGTTTACTTGTTACAAGTTTTGAAATTGTAAATATATTTAAGTGCAGCCTTTACATATCTACATAGTGTACATTCACGTTCTGCACCTTTGTTATAGTAATCATGAACAACACTAGTTTTAACACCATTTTATTTACTCGTAATTTTATTATAGAGATGATATGTGTTAATGGTAATAGTTATGAAATTCATAATTACGATAAGAATTTTTTGTTTGCTGGATATATTACTGTAGTATATCTTTGGTATTCGTGACATTGTCACTTTTTATTGAACACAAAACAAAATTGGATAATAAGAAAAATAAGCAGGAAATAAATATTCAATCACTTTAATTAACAAATTTCCTATAAATGTTAAACAAAAACAGGCAGAACTGATTGTCATCAGTTACTTGGTTCCACCTGCCAAACTAAATCATCAGAATCAGACCCTTTTTCGTATTTTATTCAATATAATTTTGTAATTTTCTCAGTTCTTACTTATGTAAGAAAATATTTAAATGAAGCATTTTAACTTAAAAATAAAATAAATAAATAATTTATTATTTTAGTCTAATGTAGAGTTTACTTGTATAAAACCAGCATGTTCTTTATGTTTTATTTTTGTAACAAAAACGTGTTTACAGGTAACACTGAGTGCAGAGGACATTGAAGCTATCTTGGACACGTTAATATATGATGGAAAAGTAGAGAAAACAATTGTTGCATCTCAGGTCACGTCAGGTTCAACTGGTGGAATGACGAGGTTATATCGAGCCGTAGAACCTTTAATAGAAAGTACTGGCTTGATGAGGTTACCCTGTGGAGTGTGTCCAGTGAGTAGTTTATATTGTCTGTGTTCTAATGAATGATATCTAATTCTTCAGTGAAACGGCAGCTATTCTGTAAGTTTGTGATAATTTTAAAGTCGAGTTTTGTTGCTGTTAGCAAGAGAACCAATTTCTACATTTTGACGTGATAACAAAGCTTATAAATGTATCTGCACAAAATATAGCAGGAAATTACACAGTATGATGTATCAAATAATTTTATTGACATATAAATGCATGCAAATATTTAAATTGTAAGTTTATAATTTAATTAATGTTGGATCGTTTTTATCCCTCAGGTGATGGAAGAGTGTCAGGAAGGAGGGGCTATTTCACCATCTAATTGTCTATACATGAAGCAGTGGTTAGATTATTGATGAAATGGAATAAAAAAAACTGTACATATTCAAAATGGTCACGTGTACTGCATAAATTAATCTTCTACAACCTAACATTTTCATATATTATACCTGCTTCGAACTATATCAGCTGATTACGAATACTTCTTGTTGCTGTTTGGTAATTTGTGTAAAACGAAGTCTTCGAGTGTCTGTGTAAATAATGTAGGAAAACTACATGTTTCAGAGTGTAAAATAACATCTAAATAGTACTAGTTACAACATACAGACAAGTTTTAATATCTTGGGGATGAGACTGTGGATCTGAGGTCTATTATTGCACAACAGAAAATGCGTTCTGCACTGTGAGGCATGGGTGCATTATAAGAGTGATGGTTAAATCTCACAATTTGGTCTGACAACAGTGGGTAGTGTTGACTAACTGCCTTCCCTCTTGGTCATCATTTCTAAGTTAGGGATGACTAGCAAACATAGTCCTGGAGTAGCAAAATTCAACAACATTGCTGTCCGGTTTATGTACGGCTACAAATTCTTTACAGTAGGCATCTGTGACATGTTGGCAATAAATTTGAACAATAAATGGACAGCAGACAATCCACTTGTTTTAAAATATTATATATTCAAAACAAGTCAAAAATATGTACAAAAATTCATTACGCTATTACTTATCACAGTTGTATCTAAAACTTTAAATAATTCTCTTTTCTTATGTCCACAAAGGCTGGTTCAGTTACTTTAGAAACCAACTGACAAGACCAATTATTCATCTCTCTTTTTTTGTCACAATAAAATCAGTGATAAATTTGCTTATGTTACCCCATGGGTTACCACAATTGTATCCATAGCTTTAAATAATTGTCTCCCTTTCATCAAAGTCCACACAGGTAGGTACAATTACTTTAGAACACCCTTTGACAAGACAGATTACTCTCTTTATCTCTGTTGTTACAATACCACTGTGAAACTCACTTTACATATTGCCCGTTACAGCTAAACTAACAACAACGCAGTCAAACTTAACTTTTTCTCTCGTACTTTTACCTTTCTGCATCTGCATGTATTTATGACACGTGACAGAATAATCTAGAAATCTCTAGCCCTCTAGTAGCAAGCAACCATATTACACATAAATAGTAAAACTTGGAAGCTTCGAGTAAGATGACATCAATAAAGCCTTGTATGACAATTAAACTGCATACACAACATGTGACTCGTTCCGAGTTATGTAACGAAAATTATCACAACTTTTGCTTTTAAAATAATTAACTTTTAACATTCTTATTATGATAACTAAATAAACTGAATAATAACTCTTAAACTCAACAGTCTTGTATATCCAACATATTTTGATTCATATGACAATACATGCATGTCCTCATGACTGTTTTGGTAGATCTTTTTAATGTATTGACATACTAATTTACAAAAAAAATATCTTAATGAGGAGACAAATACTGGATTAAATAGCCATTCAACCCCAAATTATTTTTATGCTTGTGTGGAAATAGTATGGAATAACTATTTGTATATTGTATATGGTGGTAATTTGAGGATCAATGTAGCAACCTGATCTCTGCAAAAACCGGAGGTTTGAATATCTAACGTGTAGAAGGACTGCTGTGATTTGTAGTGGTGGAATGAAAGAGGCATGACTTGGTATCATGTTAAAGCAAAAAATGAAAATTTTATTTGTGAGGCATACAAAAGAACAGCCAATTGTACATGTGAAAAAAGAATACTGCATTGTGACACATTATGTTGAAAAGTAAAATAAAGATAAATCATGCAAAAAGAAATGTATAAGATTTTATAGGCAAGTCTTGTTTCATTCAAGACAGAAACAAGTGTGTGAAAATGTCAAAACTACATTCATAATTCATATTCTCTGTAGTAGAACATTCAAAAAAGCAGATCACAAGAATTTGGAGGTATCTCTGCTTGATGTGACAGTTGTAAAGCAGTCCTTTTTACAAAAAGTAGAGCAGCATACAATAAAACAATCACATTAAACAGCAGATAGCTTTCATGATCAGGCACTCTAACAGAAAGTAACACCCGTGGACAGATTTAGCATGGAAAAGTATATATAGATACAGGAATAAAATATATACCATAGGAGAGTGAGATATGTGGTATTTACATACCACGATACAATAAATTTGGCCAATAGCAACTTTGAAAATTGTCTTGATAGAGCCACAAACTTAATATTTGTCAGCTATAACAAACAATATTGGATGTTTAAAATTTTAATTGTAAGTTGCCTGATATCAGTACCTTAAAAGTTGACTCTAGTGTAATATAATTTGGTCTCTAAAACATTTACACCTCACTGTATGCAGACCCAAGAGAGAACACAACCATTTAACACAGATACGATTTCAAAGCCAAAACTATAAAATTACATACATACTTTTCAAGAAACAGGGTAGTTTTTAAAGTAAAACAATTAGTTTTATTTAATGATGTTTCCTTTATTGTTTTTTCATTGTTAGTTTAAAACAACTTAGTAGTACTAGCTGAAGGTACCTGTTAAGGAAGTAAAAATTATATAAAGGACAATATTAGATAATACTACCCTACCTCCTTTCTTTTGTTGTTAAATCCGTAATGACTTCATTAGATGCTAATTGCATAAGCTGATTCATGGAAGGTAATAATTGACTCATTTAACTTTAAATTTAAAGCCAAAAGTGGAAATGTGCCCTATTTTAGGAGCTTTTTTTTATCCCCTTGGGGAAAAATCCTAAAACAAAATAGCCCATGTATGCCATCAGGCAGTTTCTAATATCAAAAATTACGGTTATCAAGCCAGCTAACTCTGGGTGATGGAAGCTAACACAGACATTGAGAAGACATGTTCATTTCTCTGAAATTTTACACGTCACGGCATGTTAAGTTAAAAGAAGTTGGTTTGTGAATATTACTGGCAAAGGTTTTATTTATCCAGTGTTTTCTTCACCAAGTGTTATATATTTTTACTATTAAAAGGTTTTCCTTTATCAAATGTTTTCCTCACCATTACTTTGTCAGATCATGCTGGTATTACTTTGTAAAACTTGTGCTTTGTATATTTTTCTGCCTTTTTTAATATTGGAAGTGGTGTTAGTTGAATCACATTAATATTGATGAAAACAATAAGGATAACTGTTCAAATTTGAAGGCAAAGAAAGGTAATGTGACATAGGTTACAAATGCAACATTTATAAACAATTATTTAACAATGATAACCAAACAAAATTAGTAATGTCATAAATGGTACATTCGTGGACTCAAAAAGAAAAAAAATTACTTCAAGTTGCCAAGTTTCTTGGCCATGGCTGGAACAGCAGGACACCTGAATACTGCATGTCGGATAAGGCAACTGGTGATTTTTTTTCATCCATCAGTCTGAATGTCAGGCTAACTGACAGTTTTGTGAAATGCTAGGTAGTCAGTGGTGTCTCTAAGGTCACCAAAAAGAAATCTTTCTGTATTACGCACGAGATAAAGCAGAGGTAGTGAAGGAAATGATAAATCACAACTGAGTAGTTTAGTGGACAAGATAGACAAATGGGTTAAAGATTTGATCTTATTTTAAAAAAAGTTAGGATTGATATGTATAGTCAGCTGGATTCTGACTAGTTGAAAGATCAACTAGGATACGGTCAAGCATGTGGAAAAGCCCTTCTCCACAAGTCGGAGTGTATGGTATGTACACTGTCACATATGAGGCATAATTTGGTAAAGTCTGAAGCAAAGAATGTAAGGAAACCCATTACTGTTACATTCCATGTCAATTGCAACTACTAGAGTGGTCTTAGAGTATTGTCAGCGAGCCCTTTTTGGTGGGACAGAATCTGACTGCTCCAAGAATCCACAAGATCATTGCAAGATGCTAGCTGCTTCACCTAAAGACTTGGCAATATTTTGTGGCATATTTAGTTCACATCTCATCAATCTTCTCAGCCAGGAGAGACTCAAACCAGCCTGGACTAGTTTGTAAGCATAGAGACTACCTAACATTATTAACACTGATCACCTTTGCTACCCTGTACTCCTGCATGTGGGATGTAGTCTAATGTCAGCTTCTCAACCCTGAGGACAGATTCGAAGTACAGACATACTTCTTACCATGGTCTCAGAAACTGCCTTTTCCTTAGAATCATGTTTTACAAATTTTACAAGTATTCTGATATGCCACACAGTGGTGAAGATACAGGGGAGGTTACCCAGGCCCTCACTACTTAATTTTTTCAACTGAAGCATAATTAATGTGAAGTTAGATAATATAATTAAATTATACTCAAATTTTATTTGTTACTCCTACCTGCTGCTGGTGGTGGTGGGTGGGGGGGGGGTATTATGGTACCTATTTTATACTATGACAAATATATTTAGACTGTTTAACTAAGAAGTTCAAGATCTCATGGGGCAGAAACCACACAGAATTTAACATTATCAAATGCTAACTCACTAATAAAATCCATACATTTTCTAAATGGATAAGTTATGCCACAAAAACAAATGGGAAATTAAGGAGCTCTGTCAACTATCAAGGATCTCCTAACATTCTAAAATTGAACTCTTATCACTACCACCCCAGGTTTTACTTACATGACAATGATAGAGGCTTACTAGTAAAGTTTGCTGATGAAAACTCTTGGGTATTTCCAGTCGTATATTGAGGATGTTTATATACAAAAGAATGACTTAGAGAAATTGATAAGTTGAACATATATGTTGAAAATTAATTGGATTTGGATTACATGATAGATGGTTATTCATTCAGCAGTGGTGAGCAAAAAAAAAGGGATTTTGACATAGTGGTGGATAAATCTTACAAACCAGCAAGGCAGTGCACTATTGCTAGTAGTAAAGGATGTATTTTAGGGTATATTTATAGCAGTACTGATTACAGGTAAAAGGAAGTAATTCTCTCTCTTGATATAAAACAATTGTTAGGCCTCACTTGGAATACTATGTACTGTTTTGGATATTGACTTATTGGAAAGGGTTCAAAGGATGGATACTATGATGACTCCACATATGCAAGGGTTACCTTATGGGTATAGTTTAAGATATCTT